GCAAGAGAGAAAACATTCTAATCAAACTGGAAAAACCAAAAACAGACCCTTACATATATTAATTGGCAATTCTACAATATTCCTAATCATGTACTCCATACAAGAAACAATGTGGGTTTGGAATATATTTGATTAGGCTAATCATGGATGTCCCACACATACATTAGGCATATAAAAAAAAAACCAGGACTAGAACAATGTATAGAAGACCAAAAAAAAACAAAAAACCTTAGCAAGAAACTGTTCTGTTTTTATGTATTATTCTAAGCATGCACTAGTAGCCTATCTATTTTCTAATCACGAAATAGCGAGGAAAACAAGAAAACAAAAAAACAAAACAGTAACAACTGGGGAACAAAACAAGTAGCCTCCGCATATATTGAATATATAACCAATAGCCTATATGATATATATATATATATATATATATAAATAAATATTAGTGGTCAACATACACAGTGGACATAATATTATTATTATTATTTTTTCCCCCTAATCATAAACATTCACTGCAAATGAAAACGGTGGGCTGAGTGCACAATCCGAAAATGAATCTATGTGTCCTAATACACGAATTCTATATGTACAATTTCATGATAAGTATAGGTGGTGTGTTTTAAGATTGTTGTCCAAATAGTATACTTAAATAAAATAAATAGATTCATGATTTATTAAAATAGAACATCAAATAAATTTATATTCGATAAATTACATTCTAGAGCATGAAGCATAAAACATGATTAACAGATATACATAGTTAATCGAAATATTAAAAATAAGGAATCAAACTAAATTTTGTGTGATATTACAGTGTCTTTAAACTAGATTAGCCGCCTCTTTAGCATATATTCTTCTTTACTGTAGGACCACATTTAAATCCACCAAATTCAGTTTAGAATTAGATAAGCCAAAATTCCCTACAACTATCAACAACAAAAAAATAAAAATAAAAAATTAGTCGAGAAAAAGAGAGACAACATAAAGCAATCCTTTCAATCGACTAACCCACAAAGTTTCATTTCAAGACAACAATGGGCCAATTTATTTTTAGGTCGACAGTTTCATAAAATGTAAGATGTGGTTAACTTCTGTCTCCCAAGATAAGATGGTTTAGATCGGTTAATGCAGAAGCACCTTCTGTTAGCTTTGGCGAACCGACAATGGCAGCACTCTCTCAACACAGGAAGAAAATTATATGGGAGGAGACTAACTAGGCTATAATCTGAGAGCAAAATTCTGTACCAAAACCAAAGGAGATGGGTCTCCTTTTATACACTATGGGGAAGAGAGGAGGAGCCTCCAACCATGAAGGCTAGCAACCAATGCCCATTAAGATTGGCAACCAATGCTCATTACTCCTGTAAAATTGCTGGAGTAATGGTCCAAAACTGATGGAGCAATAATATATATGAGATATATAATCTATATACACAAGTGTATATATCTGCAGCAGACTTAACCCAAAAAGATTAGGTTAGTGGACCACCAATTCAGCCCAGCCCAAACCTAACCCATTTCAGCAAGCCTCAAGCCCAAGTCCTAAGATCCATGATCCACGACCCACGGGTCACAGACCACGGACCTGGCCCTGACTCGGTCTGAGCGGGCGAGCGGCGCTCGCATGTGTGGAAATTTTGCCATAACCAACTTGGACCATAGTCTTGGCTCAAGCCCATCCTTGAAGCATCCATGCCTCACTTCCTTCGAAAAATTTGGATGCCCCAAAGGGCTCATGCCCTTCTTATAATCTTGAGGTTTAAATACCCATCAAAGTTTTCCTCTACAATCAATGTGGGATTGGTAGTTAGTTATACACAATTCCCAATACTTCATTCATGAGGTCATTTTTATGAGACAAATTCTCATTCAATTCTTAATGGTTTTTGGTCATTTTTTTTTTGTGGTGTAAAGACCTTGTTACAAAACATCTAAACCCATTTAATCCTACCTCAACCAATGGTTGGGACCTAATTTAATTTCACATTAAAGTCACCCAAAAACCATTTTTTTCCAACACTTGAGCTCAAAGATTCAAAGATTTAAAAAAAAAAAAATGATTAAAAAAATGATTCAAAGTTTGACCTCACAACCAAATAGAGAACTTAGCTAGAGAGCACGCGGTAGAATAGATTAAACCAAACACTTGCACATAAGAAGATAAGAATACTACGGTGACTCGTCTACTAGGGAGCACTCTGACGAGTAAGTCAATCACTTATCTCTCAAAGATATCAACTCAAATGAATAGTGCACAGGTAAAAGCATACCTTAGACCCATGAGGGTGCCTTACTTTTATAACTAGTGGTGCCCTCGTCCCATAGAAGTCTCATTTCACAGGACTCAAGCATAACACTTATCTCGGACTCTTAGTTAGATATGGATGAATTACTCAAGAGCCTCATCTCTCTCCGAACTAAGTGCTTCACTTATCTAAGACTCTTGTCCTCTGTCCAAACATCTCGAATGCTGATATTACCGCACCATATCTTAGCTATACTGCAACCACCTCATCACTCTGGCTCGTCCACGTAGTGCCTCAGTAATCACTTCGGCCACGTGGCATGACCCTAAAATTACGTCCCCACAACTACCCCCTAGGTTCTATTATCTCGACAACTTGAGATGATGGAACCTATATCGTCTAATCTTCCAACATGTCAACTAACTAACATGCTAGAGATACTCCTCCAATCGAGATCATGACTCGTAGGCTTCATGAAACAAGGATACAGGCATCTCAGATCAAGAACCAAGAACCAAGAATCAAGAATCATCATGTTCTATCTCATCCTAGTCCAACATCTCAATAGAGATCAATATCTCAACTGAGATTACCATCTCAACTGAGATCAACATCTCAACCGAAAGCATCATTTCAATCGAGATCATGACTCCTCTATTTCAAGAATTTTAAGAGCCTTTACTGCACGTGAGTTATTGTGTCATAACTGTCTCAACCGTATTACCTCCACGTGTTATTACCAGATTGGAGCGTACCAATCACATCCTCATTATGTCACATCAACTCTACCCCACGTCATTTGATGTCATCACGGGCATGTCTCCCTAGGCGGTTAAATCATTAGCTTTGTCGCCTTTTGAATTCCCACATAACACACTTTCCATCTCTTCATTTTGCGATTACAACTTCTTCAGACTCTCTCTCTCGCTAAAATCTCCATTGTCGAGCTTTCGAAGCTTTCTGCAACTGCTCGTGTTCATCGTCTCTGGCAAATGGTCAATTATTCTGCTCCGATCGAAAGCACCGTTTAACTTCGACAAACACAATTCCAACCCTCATTCCCACGACTTCAATTTGTAAGTCCTTGGGTCATCCCCTTTTTTATTTCAGTTCTTTACTATTCCTTTGTTTGATTATAATGTATCTTTATTCATGTTGCTGCCATGCTTATATCCTCTGCGTTTTAATGCTCTGTTTTTTTCAATTTCTGTTCTTCGTACTTCCATGCCAAATTCTGAGCCCATGTTTACCGCCTCTTTATGCTTCTGCATTTGAATTTGCTCATACCTTGGATGTGTTCTTGCCTTTTCTATATTTTCCATGTGTGTCCATGCGTCTTAGTCCTCATCTTCTGAATCTGGTTGTCTTTTCTTTGTTATTTCAGATCATTGCCTCTTGTCCCTACCTCCTTTAGATTTAGGATTGGGATTTGCTAGAACATTATACATTAGGGAAACTAAAACAAATTGTGTTTACAATCTCCTATAGATCCCCAGAATCTTTGCCCCAATACTTCTTAGGTTACACCGAGGTTCCTAGGGTTATAACATTTTTTAGAAAACAATACCAAAACCATCTAGCCGAGGTCATGGGCATGCATAAATGGAGAGTAGATAGCTTCACTAGGATTTAGAATTTTAGCCAAGAATATAACATTCCAACCGATGTCCATATCAGACTCGCTGGTGAAAATGATTCCATTATGCATGGAGACAATTACAAGCCATTCCCTGTAGTGTCAATCCTTGAGGGCGGAATTATCTTCCCCCTTAATATCCTATTTAGGAAAAAGGTTCACTTATACAGAATAAATCCCATACAACTAGCCATCAACACCTTTTGTGTAATCAACGGTATAGCCGAACCTAATCGCTAACATAGAGCCCAATTAAACCTCTAAGATGTCTAGTACTGCTACATGACGTGCACCCTTCAATCCAAAAATGGCATAACCTACTACCTCAAACCGAAGTCCATAGCCTACAAGATAATCGCCAACCTCCCTAATTCCAACAAGGGTACAAGAGATGATTATCTTACTGTCTCGGGTAATTGGGAGTTTGCTCCAGACGACGACCTACACCTCTTTCCAATCCCCAGAAGTATTTTAGGAGACCACAAAAGTAAGTTGCCCTTAGAATACACACTTGTTGTCAATTATCTGCTTAAGTTTTTCACTTAATCATATTGCTGATCATATAACTCCCATTTTCTTTTAACCAAATCTTTTCCAGCCCGAGAAGAACTTTACAAAAGTACTACATTCATAGAGCCGATCTGCAAAGGCTTCTAGACTTGGCCATCAACATTCACAAAGGCCCCTTTCTCCTGGACTACATAGCCACGTACAAGTCTCCACTTCCTGATGTCCTATCAAGAAACAAGACCCCACCTTCCGCATCAATGCCACTTGCCTCTTCAAGGGAAAATCAAGGATACCTAGTTGACCAGCCGTCAACTTTGGCTCTATCCTAGCACATTGCACCAGCTCAATGCCAATGTCGTTGTTGACCCATAAACGCTCCAGTTGGGAGGACGTGCAAAAAATGTTGAGGTACCGATATTCTATTATACGACCCTGCTAATCTGCGTCTTGATCTTTCTATATTCAGACTCAGCACTGAAGTGATCATCGTTGCCATCTCTAAAAAGATGGGTCGTAAGCTAGCAGTCGCCGAGGACCTACTAGTCAGTTTGCTTGAGGTCATCACGGTCTAATCCACCCATTTCCCTCAGTTTGTTTAAAAATCAAAGAAGATGAAGAAGGCCAAGGAAAATGCTAGAGTCACAACCATCACTTCTGACGAGGAGAAGGATCTTGAGGACACTGTGCCAATCTCAAAATTAGCTGAATCCAAGAAGAGACTAGCTTTGACTGACTCTGTTGACGCCCCTCCTGCAAAGAAGCCGAGGTCTATTGGTCTTGGGGGTAAAAGTGACATCCTCCCCGAGGACACTTGGCTTCCTGAGATCCAAGTGGGTGATCAACTTCTGAAAGTTAGCGACAACGTTTTCAAAGACATCGAAGTTAGGGCTACATTAACCACGGGCCTTCTCCTCTACACAGACTTAAGCCAAATTAGCAAGTACAACCAGTATGAAAATTTTGCCTTAATGATGAGGCACTCAGTTCTGGTAACTTCCCGTACTCTTATTTTTAAATTCAGTCCTCCATACTTAGTAAAATATTACTAATTCGTTTATTTCCTTGTAGGCCATTCAACACGTCCACTCCTATGCAATCAAGGCTAGTTAATGAAAAAAGACTTGACTAAAAAGACGTAAGAGGCTGCAAGCTTCCTCTCTCAACTTAACAAGGACGAGTCTAGGATTAAAAGTCAAATAGACAAAGTTAGTGCAACCAGGGCAGCAGAACACAAGGTCGAGGCTGCTACCAAGGGCACTGAAGAAAGGGCCACCGAGCCTGAGAGTAAACTAAAGAAGGCCCTTGAAACCAAAGAGGCCAAGATCAAGGCCGCCGATGAAAAAGCCTACGAAGAGGGGTGGGCCGACGTGTGGGATCAATACAAGAAACAAGTCAACCTGGACTACAACAAGGGTTACTACCTTGGCTAGGTTGCGGCTCTTAAAAAAACTCTCTATCCCTGAGGACTCACCTCTTCGGGATATCAGCCAACTTGATGTGCCTTTCCCCTCCCTTTTGACCAATCCGAGGATGAGGAAGAAGAGGCTGACGTTGTTGCAGCTGGGTCTAAGTCCCCAACGCTGAATAATCAGGTCCAGGACCTATTTGAAAGGACAAGGATGAGGTCTCGAAAAACACCTTCCCAGAGTAGGTCGACACCTCTGAGACCAAGATCGTTGTTGTAAACAAAAGTCTCGAGGAGAGTCTAAGGAAAATTGACGCAGAGATAACAGTTGATGCCGAGGCTGAGAAAGTTTCTTCATTGTCCACCAAGGTTGACACAACGCCAATTGTTGAGATGGAATAGTCTGAGAATATTGCTCTAGAATCTAGCACTTTAGGATTTTTCTTTCCTTCTTTACTGTTAGTTGTAGCTTTTCTCTTCTTTGAACACTTCTATTCTTATTAGGCCGGAGTGCCTTCTGATGTATTGAAACAAGTTATTCCTTTGAATGCATGTCTATTTTTGACTAAGTGTTGAATGCTTGCTGTTTTTCATACTATTTTGTATACATTTGTTGTTTTTATGCTTTGCATTTTCTCAAAATCTTCGAAGTATAATATATTGGATAGTTATCTCGGGTTAAAACATCTAAGATAAAACTTTTATCAAACATCTCGGATAACTTCAACTCAACAAATTTTCTAAATTTTTTTTACAAGTATCACATTCTCTTAACTCATCCATGCTTCCTGCCTCCTAATGTGAATATAAGCATGACTTAGGTTCACTTCTCAGATACATCGCCTGAATCTTGTGTAAGTCTAACTTAGACATCCATGATTGAGATCATCATGTTGAGCTCGTCTAAAAAAAATACTCAAGACTTAACCTTAGTGCATCGAGAGTACTACCTACCTCGACTTTTCATACAAACTAACCAAATCATGGCTAGTTTCGCCTTGTTTCTCCTTGAAACATCTCTTTAACTTAGTTTAACTTTTCCATTCTAGCAAGTCTAAGTTAAAAGTCTTGTTCCTTTTTGGAACATCGACTTAAGATTGTCCATTAACTATTAAGTAACAACTTTTGTAAAGAACAAAATCCAACTATTTATTAATCAATGCTTCAGCTAAAAATAATCTAAATTACATAGAAAAAAATAATGAAAATTAATGATAGAAGAACTTTAGATTGCTAGTATTCCAAGGTCTTGGCAACTCCTTGCCATCGCTATCATCTAATCGGTATACGCCATTGCTGGCAATCGAGATAGTTGACTTTTTGCGACTAACATTTTTTTTGTCGTTGATGAGTTGTGTTTTTGCGTCCAACGACATTTTGGTAGCTAATAGGTAGTTTTTTGTGGCCAAAAAAAGAATTTTGGTCGCAAAAAGTAATGGCGGGAGAGGGGGAAAAAAAAGGGGATCTCAAAACCTTTTGGCGACTACATTTTGGTTAGAAATAGTTTACTTTCTGCAACCAAATAAATTTTAGTCGCGAATGATCAAAGTTTTAGCAACCAATAGCTCTTTGGTAGCTAATATAGAACCTTTTGCTTGTCATTGAAGGTAGTGGCGGGAGAACAAAAAAATTAGGCAGTATTTCTAAACTTTTGGTGACCAAGTGAATCGTGGTTACATAAAATAAAATGGTTATTTTTTAAGTAAACTAAAAATGTTAATAAATGGGACTCCACGGGGTTGTTTGATAATCTAATTTAGCATTTAAAACTGAATGTATTAAGTAAAAAAATCAATTAAGTTTGTTTGATAACCACAATTAATATTATTTTAAAATTTAAGTGTCTTAAAATATAGTCTAAAACTTAAGAAAATTTTAAGTCATATGGAACTTATTTAATTCTGACTGAATTTATAAAAAGAAATACTCTATCCCCTATTTCATCACCCTACCCCCAATTGCACCTCTAATGAGGTGGCAAACAATACCAACCAAACAACTTTCTTCAAACTCTCATCTCCTTTGAAAATTGTTTGTCACCTCATTAGAAGTGTAATTGGGGATGATGAAATAAGGAAATGTAGTAATTTTTTTTTATTTTTTTTTCTTTATATATAAATATTAAACCTAAGCATCGATATCCATTATTATAAACTCACTTCCACCACCACCGCTACCATTACCACCACCATCACTATCTTTACGACCACCATGCCACCGCTACCACTACCATCACCATCATGTCATTGCCACCACTGTCGCCACCATTACCACCACCACCACTATCTTCATCACTATTGTCATTGTTACCATAAGCATCACCATCATTTTACTACTATTATTATCACTATTGCTGCCATCGCTGCCACCATCAACGCTATTGCTACCATCACCATAATCACTATTAACACTTCCACCATTACCACCATGCCAACACTACCACCACCACTATGACCATCGTACAATCATCGCCATCACTACCGCCACCATCACAATATAAAAATTGAAATATACAATTGAAAAAGAATAAATTTTAAATTTAATCTTATACATATCAAACAACTTATTTTTAGTTCAATACTTAAATTTTTATCAAATAATTTTTCAACTTAAAAAATTAAATATTAAATATTAATTTTTAATTTTCATTTTTCATTTTTCTTACTTATGATATGATCCAAACGGACTGCAATACTTGGCCTAATTTTGGGCATAGGATTTGGGGAGTCAAAAGGTCACACACTCGCCTATGTCTCACTCTCAGACCCTCTTCGGAGCAACCTCTTCACTCTCGTCAGTGAATCTATCTCTAAAACTTTGATCTCTAGAAACTACTGTTCATAGTTATCTCTCAATCAACAACAATTGCTCTCTTCAATTCACCACCTCTATTTGAAGCCTACCCAATAGCAAAAGATGGTCCCTCCATGGAATGACTGCTCTCGTCACCGGTGGCACTCGCGGAATTAGGTCTTCCCTCACTTTCTCTTTCTTTCTATCTCTCTCTCTCTCTCTCTCTCTCTATTTATATATATGTAATGGTTTTTTTTTTGTAGAACCCTAATTTTGAAATTGGAATCTGGGTGTAATTACATTTATGTAGGCATGCGAATATGGAGGAACTGACAGGACTCGGGGTGAAAGTGCATACCTGTGCTCGGCACGAAACAAAACTGAAGAGGTGTTTGGGAGATTGGGAAGATGAAAGATTTGGAGTTACGGGTTCGGTTTGTGATGTGTCGTCTTGCCTCCAGCTAGAGGAGCTAATGGACTCTATCTCCTTTGTCTTCAATGGCAAGCTCAACATTCTTGTAAGTCTCCATATTCCCATTTTTTGCACTTTTTAAAATATTTAGTTGATTGATTTTGTGCATAAATGTTTTGGTGATGATGATGATGATGAGAAGTCAAACAAAGCATTGTGTGCTTTTGTGTGAGATTTTGTAGATTTAAAGTGGGCATTTAGTTTAAATTAATGTTGATGTTCAGAATTATAAGCCCAAGTAATGTAGATTAGAAGGCTTTGTAGTTGGCCTTAAAGCTATGGTTATGTTCATTCTATGGGAGTTGGGAATTGACATACTGCCTTAAATAAATTTGGGGCTTGAAATGTTCTTATCGAGGATTCATATAAGCTGTGTTTGGATCATGGATTTGAATAAAGATTTAGAAATGGAAAAAAGAAAGGGAAAGGAAAAAAAAGGTGAGTGAAATGTAAATAAAATATAACTATAGTTCACCTACATTTTCCCTTTTTCTTTCCAAGTCTCTACCCAAATCTATGATCCAAATACAGTCATAATGTTCCCAAAGAAGCTTTATAGTTTCGTAGGATTTTTACGGAATTGTTTCTGCCCCAGTCCAAGTAACTCTTTTTTAATTGGATGCAATTGAGTTGAGGCAATAATGGAATTTTGGCTCAAAGACATCCAAGTTGTTGATAAGAGGTCCTAATTATCAATTGTACTGTATGAGACAAGTTACAAGCTAAAAAGCATAGACCCTTCTAAAAAGGTGGTGTGTTGGTGTCATGTCCCTTCAAACATGGTTGCAACTTAGATGTTTTACCGATTCTTTCCTTATGTGATGAGATTTGAACTTAAGAGCCCCAGATACGATTAGTATATCTTATTTTCCAGGGATCAACATTTTAGAATTGCAATGCTTCACTTCATTGTGCTTTTACCATCTACTGAACTTATGGGGACATTGGATTTTGTGGTTTAAATCTGTAGATCTGCAGACTGCCCGAACTTCCTCTGCGCGGCCCCCTTTCGGAGAGGGCGCAGATTTGGGTTCTAGCTACTACAGTTTGGACTTGTAGACACCCCATTTTTAACCGTCCTCAAGACTTGGACGTCATCGTTTGAACACTCGATGATCATCCATGCTCGTGTTCATTTCAAGTTCTCGAAGGTCTCAGTTGTGCGCCTTGCCTTAGGATCTCTCAACTTGTTTGTTTTGTGCTTGGTTGTGGACCAAGGACTTGTGGTTTTGCTTCTGAGGGAAGAGGGTGGCTTGTTGGCCATCCCTGAAACCCATCAGCTAAGGCTTTGTGCCATCGGCCATGTCTTCTTGCCATCGACCATAAGTGTTGGCCGATCGGCACTCTTTTTGGTTGATTGGCCATATTTTTGGGCCGAGACCTTTCCATCTGCTTTTTGCAAATATTTTGTGCCAGCTGTGACAGCTGGTGAACACAATTCTCATCCTCCATACACGTGTATGGAGGGATTTGCTTCAAGACTCAAGCTTGTTGAACAAGCTTGAGAATTGAAATTCTATAAGAAGGGAGGCCCCTCTCCCTCTCCAGAGGTTCTGAAAATTGGATATATACATCATTCATCTCTTTCTCTATATTTTACCTCTCTCTCTCCATTTGCTCTTGTTTGTACTCAAAAGTGTGATTTCTTCACATTATTGCACACAAACACCTACTAGAACACCATCCTTTTGTTGCTGAGGTACTAAGGAGTTGATTTTAGTGTTTTTGGGTTGGTTTGAACTCAGAAAAGTTGCTGGAGTTGTGTTGTTGGAGGTGTTCTTCAAGGGTGAGTCAACTACCTTTTAATCCCTTGTTTTGGCTTAAGCTTTTAGACCTACTTGCATATTGTTTTAAGCTTAACTCTAAACTACAAAAAGTTCTTATTTTTCATGCTTGTGATGTTTGTTTAAGGTCACTTTTGTGTTGGGGGTTGTCTACCCCCTCTTAGGCCTTGTTTGGCCTTGTTTTGTGCCTTCCCTTTTCAGCTTTGGAACCATCTTGTTTTGACCTTCTCACCACTGAAATCTAGAGGATTTTTCAGTGGTGGAAATGTGGTTTTAGAGTCTTAAATAGGAGAGGGACACCCCCCTCTCCTTGTGTCTCATATGCTAATATAAATGGCTTATAATGGTAGCATGTTTGCTTAGCTTGTTTTGGCTCCATTTTAGCAAGTATTTGGTGTTATTTTGCATGCTATACCTCTGTCTAAAGTTGGCTTGATGACCTCTTGCATGCACCATACACTTGTAGAGCAATTTTGCATGCTAGCATAACATACATCTTGTGTTTGGACCATCATTCTTGCATGTTTTGGCTCAACTCAAAGAAGCTTTTAGTCATGTTTTACCATGCTTGAGCTCTGTTTCATGTTGTTTTAGTCATGCATGCACTGTTTTGTATAGCCTTGGTTCAATCTAGCTTGTTAGCTTTGAGTATCCAAGTCATTAGCATGCATTGCTTGGACCATTTTCATGATTTGGCATCATTTCATATGAGATTTCAGTCCATGTAGTGTAGCCATACACTTGCATTTTCCACCCTTTTGATGTTTTGAAGAGTTGGTGTTTTGTGCTTCAAGAATGGATCATTGTGCATGCCATCATACTTAGGCTTTTGGGATGCCATTTCAGTACATGTTTGGGCTTATTTTGACATGCCATAACTCTGATTTTTATTGGTTAAATCATGCCATGTTTGGTTGTCATAGGTGTAGTGTAATCCCCCTTTGTTAGCCTTGCATGCCTCATGCTTTTTGAACTTTTGTTCTAGCTTGTGTTGGCTAGGTTCAAACTTATTTTTGGTCTTATCTTGACCTGTCTTGGGACTGTTTTGGGTGCCCTTGACCCTTTGGGGCTTTCTTTGCATGGCCATGGTTTAAGTCCCTTTGCTAAGTTTCAAGCTTTGAGGTTTTTTGCATGCTATCCTTGTGTTATGTGGTTGATTTGGCATCATTCCATGCTTAATTTCGGGGCTTATAGTATTGTCACTTATCCACACCTTTCACTCTTTAAGTGCTCTTAAGAGCTGGTGTCTTCATGCCTTAATTCTTGGGCCAATTGGCATGCGTGTTTGTATGTGCATTGCATGTCATCAATTCATCACTTTAGCCACTGTTTTTGGCATGGCTGAGGTCTGTCCATCTGCGGTTTAAGTCCATTATGTATGTGTCTTGCATGTTGTTGCCTGCTTGTTCCATTTTGTGGTTATTGCATGCTTGTCGCATTGCATGTTGTCGCATGCTTGTTGCATTGCATGATTTTTGCATGTTGTTGCATGCTTGGTACATTGCATGTTTGCATGCTTAGGTTGCATTGCATTTTGCATGCTTGTTACATTTGCATTTGGCATGCTTATGTTGCATTGCATAGTTTCTCCATGTCGTATACATTGCATTGTGTTTGGTTTGGGGTGTTAAGCCAAACATAAGGAATGATGGGCATTTTTATACTTGAAGTGATGAAACGTGCCTTAATCCTCGGTCATTGACACTCTTGATCCAACATGATAGAGTTTAAGGCATTTGTGTGTTTTCGTGCATGTCATTCACATTAAATTGTGCAACTCGGCCTATTTGGCCATCATGCATCGAAATGCGTGATTGATGGCTCGAGAGTCGAGCACTACACTCCTTTGAGTTCCAAACTTGATAAGGGGTGTAGTTGCACAACATTTTCTTGCAAATGTATTTCCATGCTCTTGTTTGTCCTCTGCTGCAACAAAAAGGAGCAGTTTGCAGGAAGGATGGCCGATCGGCTATCTACAGTGCCGATTGGCTAACAATGCTTGGCCGATAGCCTCATAAGTGGTCGATGGCCCTTATCTTTTGGCCGATGGCCTTACCTCTTGGCCGATGACCTCTCAAATTGTCCATGTGGTGGTCCAGAAGCATCACAGAGACTTTTACAGTTTTCAAAGGTGCAAAACAATGCAAACAGAGGCAACATGAGGCATGGCAACGGATTTCCGAGCGAAGCCGATCGAGCATACATTTGTCCCTCCTCTTGAGGCGACTTTAACTGTTTTGTAACTTAATTAATTTGCTTAATTAGTTAAGAGTTTTGTAATAATTAATTAGCTAGGGTAGTTGATTAATTAGTTGGTTTGTATTATTTATTCGGACCCTCCGTCACACACGCACATTTATTACAAAATTCGCCCTCTCGACGGAGGGTCCGAATAAATAATACAGAACCGACTAATTAACTAACTATTCTAGCTAATTAATTATTACACAACACTAGCTAATTAACAAATTAACTAAGGAAGCAAATAAACTAGCATGCAAGCTACATGAAATGGATTGCCTCAGCTCTGCCTTGAATGATGAAGGATGCATGCTTGCCCGAGTCGCCTTGTCGGGAAATCCATCGCGATGCCTCGACTCACCTTTGTTTGCAATTGATTTCAGAAAGTTGCAAGAGGCTCCAGAGAGATGAAACTCCACCCAGGAAAATTATGGGAAGGCTGCAGACCAGCTCATGGCCTTGGAGACCACTGCCGACCACCTTTGGTGGTGAAGACCAGAAAAGGTGGTCGGCCTGCCAGAAAACCTGGTCGGCCGACCAGTTCATTCTCTTGGTTTCTGCTTTTTTTGCAACAAAGGCAAGAGAGAGAAGGGAAGGTATTTTGAACATATGTGTGCCTGACCATTCTTTCCATCATTGCATAGGCTCTAGGGAGTATAGTCCTCGATCCTCGTGCCATCAATCACGTATCCCGATGCATGATGGCCGAGGAGTCAAATTGCACGACTCAATGGGACATGAATGCACATATAAGCAACTAAAACCAACAACTCCATCATGGATGGTCAAGAGTGTCGGTGATCGGGAATCGAGGCACGTTTCATCACTTGGAGTATGAATCGTTCCTCATTTCCCCTGTTTGGACTAACTCCTATTCCAAACACAATGCGACAAGTAGAATGGCATGGCATATACAAATACAACTCTAGCATGCGATCTAAATGCAATGCAACTAAGTGATGCGGTGATGCATGGAATGACATGCAAGCATGCAAATGGCATACACAATGCTATGAACTATT